ATCAAGAGATAATTAACATTTTTTCTTGCTACCAGAGTTAGTAGACGGAAACCGTTTCCCCTCTACTAACTCTGTTGCTACTAATACACCTTTTCAGTTGCACTTAGGCCTCGATAGCAAGCACATTCCTACAAATTCAAAAGAATATTTAACACGCTGTCGAGGCCTAAGAGCAACTGAAACGGTGTATTAACTTGGCATTCTTGTGGGTGACAAAATTCTTGAATCTATCTGTGCGGGTTGATCTTTAAAAGGTAGGTGTCGCTTCTCTATTTGTTGCTGACCTAACTGACCCTTAACTTGATGTTATTTACGGAGTTATTTGTATACATGCTTATGACATAAACCGGAAGTAACATAGGGATTGAAAAATATTTTTATTGAATTTAACAAGAAGCAAGAAAATGTACTTTTCGTACAGACAAGCAATTTCTTGATTCCAGGTGAATGGAATCCCTTGATATTTGCCATCTAAATTTCTCAAGGGCTCTTAGGCCTCGTTTCCATTCCTTTGTTTTCTAATGTTTTGAATTCACTTTTGCATCTATCGAGGCGATAAAATCTTTACATATGGAAAAACATTCTGTCAATGAGCAATTCTAAATTAGCTACTTGAAGTGCGTGTTTATACAACAGGTCGAGAAAGATTACAGCTAGCGCACGCTTCTGCACTCTTTCTAGAGCTAACGATAGCTAGTCAGGAAAATTAACAAAACAGAGGCAAACCCAATGAGCAATACACTCATGCAACATGTCAGACGCATCTACGCCGCACTTTTTGACTATTCTGAGAACGACAAAGCGTACGGTTTATCCTGGTCTAGGGGTTTTCTCTTCTTTTCTATAATATGTTTTTTTAGTATATTTTTGGTGCTTTTTTGGTATTCATTGAATTGTTGTCTTTACTTTTATATTTTTTTCGTCGTTGCGAGTTCAATTAGTCGTCGGGTACAACAACGCGAAAGACGAGATTGGGGTTCCCAATGGGTAAATCGTTCTCTGGTGTCAGTAGCCTGTGTACATCCGTTCCCACCCCTCCCCCTGCTTACGGTAAAAATTCAGGCGTATACACATGCTAATATCACCCTTGATGCTTTGCTTGATATTTTGATAACTCATTTCATGCCAATAAGAGGTTGTTTAGAATGTCATTTATAAATTACTGAGGTTTCAATAAAGCATGAAATAGAAATTACGTTTAAGTCAAATTCAAAGCCTGTATGTCTAAACTGACCAATCAAAAGCAAGTACTATATATAACAAAAGAAAAACACACGGTCGCAAAGCATTCAGGGTCATACTGTATCTTCAAGAATTGGATACAAAAGTTCTTTCAACAATAATACAAAAGTTCTTTCTAAAAAACCTTTTGTTACTGCGAACAAAAGAAATATGTCAGTTCACACACACAAAGATACAACAGCACGCGGCGTTTCCCAGAAATTGAAATTCATTAGTTTGGCTAGCTTCCTGTGTGGACAACGCCTTTCCTTTATTTTAGTGTCGATCATGTATATCATAGTGCCATGCGGTCCTCATATTCATATCTTTGCATTCTGGTAGCCGCAACCATACGTCTATTTCACCCCGACCTGCTCCCGATCTGGCCTTGTGTCCCGGCTGGCCTGYGGAGCATCGCTAGTAGAAATCCGAATTAAGGTCGTGGGTTCGAATCCCAGCGAGGTCAGAAATTAGTTTTTGCCAATTTATTCCCGAGGGTCTTTCTCCCGGAATAATCTCCGTTTAAGCACTATTTCTTTCCTTATATAGTGACTTGTTTATCTAGGTGTATATTATATATTGACAGGTGCTTAGACGGAAGCTAATACTGAGTGGAAGAATTCAAATTKATCACTTCAAACCAAGACCAACAGCTCTTCAYAATGTGGTGKCTCCTTTTGTTTATATTCCTCAAAGGTAACAAAATACTAAATTATAATTTATATTTAATTATTCCTTTAAGCTTTTAAAGTTAGTGGATTTATTCCCGAAATTCCCTAATCTTTGAGAAAGGTAAAGCCGAATCTGTCACTCTACAGAGAAACCAAGTTGGCAAACGGAAGGTTTGGGGTCAGTTACGCTGTCGATTTTTATACAAAGCGCGCACTTAAATTAATACAGATTTTTTTCTAAAGTTTTGCAATAAGATCTCCCGGAAAGGATACAGCTTTTTCGTTTTGTTTTGGGAACGTTGAGAAATATTAAGCGAAGACAGACAAAAACTTTGTCTGATTATTATGACAATATTTCGATTCAGAAGCAAATATTTACGAAAGTCTACCAAAGTCAATGATTATAAATGCCCAAATTTTCWARAAGCTTTTCGATGATACAAAATAGGTCTGCTTTAATTGTCGTTATTGTTATAAACAGAGAATTAGTTGTATCTTCAGCATGTTATATTAAAAATATCTTGGTAGCTAGAGAGAGCTGTACATTTCTCTTCCCGCTGATATAAAAATGGTAAATCATGTTTTATAATTTCAACCCCGTAGTAGCGACACCTATATGTGCTCAAAACCCCAACCACAGGCCGGAAACAGTCTATATTATTTAGTTGGAAGTATCACAAAAAATGTATTAAATGTTTCATAAACTTCTTTCTATGTGAGAGAAACGTAACCAGTCAGTTCAKTTGTAAATACGTTCAAAGACGACAACATAGTCATTTGTATATATCGTGTTTTTAATTTCTTTGCAAGAATATTCAAGATAAAGTTCTAAAAGTTCTAGTTTACAAAGACCAATGTCAATAACATTTAATTCGCTATTTATCTAAAGTTTAGATTGACAATTCTCCCTGCAAATATTAAAAAAATMTTTACAAATGATTATATCGTTTAGTGGGGTTGACTACATAATARGTTTTAATTTGTAGCGATATGAAGATGTTATACTATTTATTTCATACTTGATTCAGTTTTCTTTGTTATTCATAGTGTTGTATCTAGCTTATTCCACAGCTCATTGTGTATTCAAGTGCTTTATATCGAAGTTTGAATACTAATGTACTTATTGCCCTTGAATACCTAATTAACTACTACGTTCAACTTAGAAATTTTCCGTCTGAAACTTTAAACTTGAAAGAAAGAAAAATTCAAATGACACCAAGTAGATTCGAACCCACAAAATCCTATACTTAACACGTTATGCTAACTGACTAATCGATGTCAGTTGTGGAATAAAACAGTTATTTAACATTGTCCAGTTACTTGTTACAAAAGGTATATTGTTAGCATTGGTCTCATGGGACTAACGAGAAAAATGGTTATGCAAATTATTACCGTTGGGAATTGTCAATACAGTAAATATCGTAACCTTTCTAATCGAGGTTTTGGTTTTTAATTCATATGAAAACGGCTTCTTTGCCGATTTAAAAATGAAAATATTAATGCAGTGCTTGGAAAACTTCTTCAAAGTATGAAATAAGTACGGCCCCGAGGGCTTTATAGGCTTATTGCCGACGTTCGAGGTATTTATCTCTTACATATACTATACAATAATAATAATCACGCGTAGCAACGCTACCCCGAAGAAGAGTTCGACTCTTTGAATTCCATTTTTTTTTCGGCGCTAAAAGGGCAATAGTGAACCGGCATTCAATGCAGTCGTGTTTTAAATTTCTATACATGTGAGGTGACTTCAAATATCCTTTCGTAATCTGTTTTCAYACGTCGAGTCTTACAATTACCACCGCATAAAAAGAGTACATTGTAGTTTTTTTATCATATCTAGCGATGATTTTTTACTCAATATAACCAGTTTAACCAGTTTGCTAATCTCGCCAAACAGGTATGAGTTCTGTCCAGTCATTGGACATGGATGGTAGCGTTCGATCTCGTCTCGGACATTTCAATACAACGCGYAATAACCTCGTCAGTCCAGAAGACAAGGCAAAGGCACGTGATTACATCGTGAAAACGTTTCAGGAATTTGGACTGGACACGTGGACAGAGGAGTTTCCATCCAATCAGAACTCGGTAAGCAAAAAAAACTACTTTGCGGTGGAGCAGTTTCAATAGAGAGTTTTAGCATCACGTTAACGGCAAACGGCTAACAGCAGAGCTAAACCAATGATCTAAGAATTTCGGGCCTGACCTTGTGCTTTTTGTAGTCATTTGAAAGAGCGGCTTTTCACGATTATGGAAACCCCAAATAACCCGCTCTCGCGTTGAAACTGCAATGTTAAACTCCAAAAAAGCAGATCACGTGATCTTTTCTGCCGTTTGCCGTGAACGTCATGCTAAACCTCTCTAATAACGTCCGTTGAGATACAGTACTTTTACTGGCCTGGAGTGAAGTCATCAAACCCGTGAAACAAAACTTGACTATTAAAGTGTGATAGTCAAATAGACACAAAATAAAACAATGCAATTAAAGCGTACTAAGGTGTATTAGTGTAGTATCTATTTCACGGGTTTTTTGACTACACTCTCATRACTACCGTGCTTAAATACACTTCTTGTATGTATGTATGGTCTATTAAAAAAAGGAATTTTTCTCTAGTACCCAGGGATAAACGTGATTGGCCGCGTCAATGGCAGATACACTGGGACCAACAAGGATAAGATTCTTATCATCGGATCTCACTACGATACTGTCCAGACAACCAACGGCGTTGATGACAATGGTTCTGGGGTAACGGCGTTACTGCAAACATTAGCCAAGTATAAAAGCACGAGTACGTCATTTTGACGAATTTTCAGATTTGATTTTCTTTTTTGTTTTTTCTAGTGTTTTTGTTGGTTTGTTTGTCTTTTTTCATGGTTTTTGTTTGTTTTTTTTTGTTTCTTTTTGTTTTGATTAGTAAAATAATTCAGGACATTTATTGCATTGCAAAGTCGCAAAGCATTCTGGTCTTGGTAGTTTGTGGCCCGAGAGTGAAATTGGACTATTATCTACAATAGGCCATTTGCATGATGGCGTAACTTTACTACAACTACCAGAAAGCCTTGCGCATTTTCTTTGTTATTCAGATTTTTAATCCCCTTAGCGATTAGTAAAACAATTGGCACTAATTGCATTACAAAAGAAAGTTGGCAAAGCATTCTGGTAGTGTAGTAAATGACGCCATAATGCATTTTTAAGAGTGAAGTCAAAGATCCCGTGAAATAGATATTACACTAAGTACAGCCCATTTGCATTGTTTTCGTTTGTGTCTATTTGACTATCACACATGAGAATCTAATAAAACAGCGGTTATTCGCTWTGGCGGCTATTCGCTTTCCAATATGGCGTCACATAGTACCAAGGCCAGAATGTTCTGCCTCCTTTGTTCTGTTTTAGTAATTATATGCTTTTTGTATTTTCTTTGTCTTTCAGATCCAATCGCTCTAGAGATTAGTAAAACAATTATTATTAATTAGAAATGAAATTAGAAATAATTAGAGATTAGAAATCTGAATAACAAAGAAAGTACAAAAGGCGTTCTGGTAGGACTGATTACAATACAAAAGAAAGTGGCCACTAAAAAATTCTGGTCTTGGCAGTATGTGACGTCATCGAGCAAAACTCCTATTGCATCGTTTGTGTATGACGTGTGTCTATTTGACTTTCACACTCTTTAAAGAATCATAACCACCCGTCGTACCTTGCGCGCTCGTATTATTGTTTACATACGTTTAAATGCGTCAAACATACAATAGATTATAGATTTATAGTACCTGTGAGGTACTTAGTTAAAGGTATTCTGTCCAAACTGACAGAATGGAAGTCGATTTGCGCTCACTTTAAGAAATCCTACGAATCCGCCACTTTCGTGTCCACCTAAAATGGCGCTTCGGTTCGCAAGGTACGGCGGTTGGTTATGATTCTTTAAAATAGTAAATAATAATCTTTGTGCACGTTTAATGACTTCACTCGAGATTTTTTCACTCCTCTAGTGTTTGTACTAAGGACACTGAATTTGTCTCTTTTTTTGTCCAGATAACGCCAAATGTACACAAGACTACACCTTGTTATTTGTAGCCTTCGACCTTGAAGAAAACCAAGGAGGTTCATGCAGTGGACAGTGTGCCTGTCGTGGTATTGTGTGTGGAAGTCATTTCTTTGTCAAAAATCTAACAAGGTGAATAAGCCTTTTTCCCGTTCAATGCGCAGAGTCCTTACACTAACAAAGAAGCATAAAAGATGTTGAAATAGCTCTAGAAATTTGAATCTTCTCCGATTTGAGGCTAAGACGACACTGGTGAAAAACACACTGCGCATGTCCACAGCTTTCCCTCCAGTGAGCGCGCTCGTCTTGAAATCTGTCTAATTTAACACAGTAAACACTACGAAAAAACCCCATTTTCTCAAAATAGAAATGACAAGATAAAAATAGAAACTACATACTAAAAGAACCTATCATGAGCAAAGATTGGTGGAAATATGAATCTTATATATCGGTTAACGAGCTTATAAATTGTAAAAAAAACTTTCACAAAAATCGCCAGCTGCTCTGTTTACAAATAAAATAGGCAGATTTCAAGACGCGAGCGCTCACTGGCGGGAAAGCTGTGGACATGCGCAGTGTGTTTTTAACCAGTGTCGGCTAAGACTGTATCCCAACAAGAGCTAGAGTATAAGCCTTCTGGGAACACAGGTTTAGCCTCAAATAGGAGATAATGTAAATTTGTAGGGCTATTGTTATATTTTTGAGCGCTTTCTTCTTTTTTTGGTAACGTCTCTGAATAAATAAGTCTGATGTTTACTAAAACAGTGGTCGCTCGCGTTTTTAACATGCAAATGAGTTTTTCGACTATTTAACATGCAAATTAGTTGTCACCTGAGATGAGTTGTTACCTTGAAAACTTGAGTCGAATTGGAATGCATTGTATTTATTACGAACTTTGATACTGAATAAAATTCAAAATTGATAAACGGTGTAACTCGTCCTTTGATAATACRTTTGGGCTACCTGTGGCTTAGGTGTCGACTAATTTGCATGTTAAATACTCGAATAACTCATTTGCATGTTAAAAACGCTTATGTGAAATCGTTCTATTAGACCACTCGATGTCGTGGTGTGATTGCTAATTCTGGATACACGGGCCGTTAATCCGTTAATCTCAAACATGTTCTTTCATGAGATTCCACTGTGCTAGATGATTAACATAATCGAGTGTTGGGCTGGAAAAAATCGCGCGCTTTAAAGGTTGTAAATTTGCAGGGTC